TACAAAAGAGATTTGTTAAAATTTTGAAGAATCTTTTAGGAAGGGAAAATAAAAAATAAAAAGAAATCAAACTCTACAACAGTGGTTCTCAACCTTTTTAATGCCGCGACCCCAACCGGTCGTAAGTCGAGGACTAAACCGGTCGTAAGTCGAGGACTAAACCGGTCGTAAGTTGAGGACTACCCAACCGGTCGTAAGTCGAGGACTTTCCCTGCCCGGGAGCACCACGCATGCGTGGTTCCACCCCCTGCGCCGGCCGAGGCGTAGCTGGCAAGCGGCAGAGACAGAGCAGGCCGACCCCCAGCTGGCCCAGCCCAAGGGAGGTAAGGCACCCGCCAGAAAAGGGGGAAAAATGGCGGAAAAAAATGGTGGACAAAAAAAATGGCAGACAGCCTTGCTTGGCGACCCCCATGAAATGGTCGATCGACCCCAAATGGGGTCCCGACCCACAGGTTGAGAACCACTGCTCTACAACATTATTTGATGAAATAAAGATTAAGAAGTCAGAAGTAAAAGGAAGGAATCCAAAGCTGGTTTATTTGATCGAGGTTAAAGTAGATGTGCCATTATCTCTGGTAACCTTTAATCAACTTTTGCTGGCAGGACTGAAATGATGGGGCTTTGTGGATTTGCTTTATAGCTAAGAGATGGGGTATGTGGGCCACAGTGGCCTAGTGATGAAGATGTGGGGCTTGGCCAGCCAGGAGATGGACCGTTTGAGACCCAAATACTGAATGGTGGTTGAGCATCTGTTCTTGCCCCAGCTGCTGCCCACCTAGCAGTTTGAAAGCATGTAAACGTGAGTAGATAAATAGCTCCCCCCTTCAGTGGGAAGCTAAGGGCGTCCCATGTGCCTCGGCCGGCCACCTGACCATGGAAGCATCTTTGGACAAGGCTGGCTCCCTCAGCTGGGACACGGAGAAGAGCCCTGCCCCTGAGAGTCGGACATGACTGGACAGGGGAAAGCTTTGCCTATTTTTTTAAGATATGGGATATGGGAAGAAGAGATCATTTGTTGTCTTCTAAGAGGAGGTGATAACTTACTAAAATTGTTTATATTTGTGATAAAGGGAGAAGTCACTTCTTTATATCGTCGAAACGTCACCAAGATACTCTCAATCTTACACGGGAAAAGACCTGAATACGCCAAGACCTGCATATATATATATATTGTCTTTTTTACCATGTTCTTTTTTCTCTTTTCTATTTCTCCATTTTTTTCTTTTGTGCACCTTCCATTTTCTCTTTTTATTCTTTTTTAGTTTGTAGTAGCTTACCTTTGTAATTGCAACCTTTAATAAAATCACTATTTTAAAAAAAGAGCCCTGCTGGATTATGATGTCCTGTCAATTTCCAGCACTGGTCAGCCCCCTGTCCCTGAAGGAAGTCAGGGGTTATTTCTTCAGCCATTCCTCCCTGGCCATGGGCGCCCAGCATGTCAAGCTTCACCTTCCCACCGAGATGCCTAAGACAGGAGAGCATCTTAAGTAAAATTGCCAGAGTCGTATGTTGTGTGAAACCGTACCACTGGAGTTCTCATTACAATATGCCAAAACTTAACAAAGAACATTATGGCTCAAGGGAATGTATAAAGCGAGCACCGAGTCTGAGTCTGAAATAAAATTGAGCCAGAGATCTCAACCATCTTAGCCTTTCACATTCTCTGCCACTTGTGCTTTTAGCAAAGGAACATAAACCCAGGGCTCTATTAGTATGGAATGGAAGAACCCAGCTGTTTGGAGCAGCATGGGAGCTTTAAATAATGTGGAAAAAGCAATTCGCTTGTGCGTATGTCCTCAAGAACACAACTTGCGCTCTGCAATTAGTGAGCAGCACTGGGCCTCCCAGCCTTCTTTAAAAAGAGGGCCTGGTTAATTTTTACCTACCGAGATTTACAGAGAAGGTTTCAAACTTGCCTCACATCATCCTTTGGGAAGGAACAGGAGAAAATCCAACTGTTCCCCCGATACGATGACAGAAGGACTTCTGGGAGCAGCGTGCAAATACCTGGTGAGGGAGGGGAATTTCTTTCTTACTGGGCTGCCTGTTCTTCGTGCAGGGATCTGTTTTGGGCTGCAGTGGTGTGGAAAAGTTGCAAACTCCCTTGAATTTTCAATATTTCTGCATACAAGTGACCTAAAACATGGAATGTTTAGTTCTAGTTACTGCTACCTAAGGCAGGCACACCAGTTACTGAAAGCAAAGATTTGCCTACTTTTGCAACACACAAATACGTAGCTTCAGATCATTTTCCTCAATAAATGCATGAACAAATATAATTTTTGATCACTTGGTGGTGTGGATTCTCTTTAACTAGTCTTAGGAGGGTGGAGAGAAGATCATGTATTAGATCATATTTATGCAGAAATATTGAAAATCCTGAATGGTTCAAGCACCACTGTATAGAAGGCTTAGAAGATTATCTACACATTTTGAGGAAGACACCCCACCAGTCATCAGACAGTCTTGGCATCTTCCAAATAAGATAGGTTACAGGGGATGATGGGAATTGCAATCTACAAAGACAGTAGGCCTGGAAGGTGGAGGTTGCCTGTGTTTGGGGGCAAAGAATTTGAAACAGAATGAAAAGAAATATGTTTTAAAGACTTCATCTGCAATTGCATATATAGCAAGTGCTATATAATTAAGACCTGGAGGGAGGCAGCTTGAGTTTGCTCCTCCATCCACTATACCCCGATCTGGCTCAGTTTGTGGGTTTCTGTCCTGGAGTAACCAGCATGGTGGGCTTTGAATGTAGGAAATGAGTTTCTATCCTAACACAGGCGCAAGACCCAGCCTGGGCTCCTCCTTCACAGGTCTGGCAGATTACAAGGCTGCACTGAGAAAAGAAAGGCAGGGCATAAATACATGAATTAAATAGATTCCCCCCATATTTTGATCTTACAGCAGTAAAGTTTAACTAATTAAAAAAATAAAAAGTCTTGCTAATAAGACAGGCGAAGGCAGCGCTAACAAAAGTCACAATTCTGTAAGTCCACTTCAAATCCAGTTCGGTGAATCCCCTCCCTCAAACAACACCCATTAACATTCCAAGCATTTGCTTTTCTCGAGTGCTTGCAGGAAAGTTAAAACGATATTCCACTTATAAAGTCTCCTTTTCCCCCCTGCATTAATCTGGGATCTTTTCTCCCCCCAACTGAGCACTCAAACACAGATTTCAGGAATGCCAGAACTCTTATTGGTGCCAGCTACTCAGCTGCAATGCACTTAATATTAAATTGGAGACACTGCCAGGACTAGCACTCTTCATGGACCAGATTGCAATTGCTTGGCACACAATTATGGATGCATCACATCAGGCCCCGTTGAAAAGGAATATTAGAAAGGGTGAGATCTGTCTGAGGAACCAGGGAACTGGTTAGGTAAGGCCTCGGTTCCGGTTTTCTGACAAAGTAATTGATTACCTTTTTTAGTTTGCCCTAAAACTAAGGTCCAGGCAAACAGCAAGTTTAAAACAGGAAAATGCAAACCCTTTTTTTGCAAAAGGACAATTAACAGGGCATGAATTGCGATTATGAACCCCTCCCCCCAAAAGGGGACTAAAACATTTAATGGCAGACACTGCCCTTACCTTGCATTGTTTCATAAAACTGATAACTGATTCTCTGAGTGTGCAAAATAGAGGATTAACTGTTGGGGCCAAAGAAGAAGTGCTTATGGGTTCCTACAAAACACCCCTCTGGCTATTCTCCTAAGAAACAAGACAGTAGATAAGACCCTTTCTTTAACCTGGATCATCTGATTGTATAATTTCAGCACTACACTAAACTATAATTTCCAAGACATTTTTGAAGACGTTAAGGGGATATAAAACATATATTTGGGAGAGGGGTGGGGTATTATCCTCTCCTTATTGAAGAGGAAAGAACAGCACGTGTTCAGTTCTGGTCTGTGATGCTGTCAAACTTCATTATTCGGTAAAGCTGGAACATTTTTACTTCTTTTTTTTTGCATTCTGTGTTGATTATCCCACAAATTGTGGGAATAAGATGACTTACACAACTGCTCAAAATAATTTGAAAGCAGCAACAGCAGCTAATGGAGCCCTGAGAATCCAGGTGGGACGTGTCATGTGCTTCTGATTTGTTTTCGTTTTAAAGGAAGAACATTGAATGCCTCTCAACAGTTATAGGTGCTTAATGCACGAAGAACAAGATGCCTGCAATGGAACTCATCGTGAAGCCAAATGTTTTGTTTAGTCCAAGGAAAAGTGTCTCCAAGATTACCACCAAAAGGAGAGACTGAGGCAGTGATGCCTGAAATACAGGATAGCACGTCCTCCTTAGAAATTTAACCATGGTAGCCCAAAAGCAAAATAGCAACAAGATGAACTATTTTCCAGGAGCCGGATGTAAAATACAAAAGAGAAGGGAAAGAAAGGTACAACCTGGGAAAATCCACAGTTTTGTCTTTCTGCTAGAAACAAGAGCCAATCTTCACCACGTCTCTCCTGGGCTAAGACTAAGTCGTGACTGGGGATTCCTAGCCTGAGGAAGAGAGGCGTGGCAAAGGTTGATTGACTTAGTCTCTAGGGCAGAAAGGCAAGATCTTATTATCTCCAGCAGCAAATGTAGTTCAGTTTTCCCTATTCAGGCCCTCTTCAAATGTGTGGATTTCATCTCCCATAATCCCCAGCCCCAAAAGCCATACCAGCTGGGGATTAGGAGAGTTATCACTTAGTACATCTGAAAGGCATGGAATTGGGGAAAGCTAAGCTAGTAATGTTATTGAAGACCGGCCCCAGTTCTTTGGACAGTTTCATGGAAAGGTTCCCATTAGGCTGTTTTCCTTGCAGAGTTATTCTCTTCATTTTGCAAAAGTTTTGTCAGACTTTCTTTTTCCCATGGCAAAAATGAGGAGGTTTTAGCTGAGCCAGTTGAGCAGGAAGTCTAATCGTATTTCACCTCTTGGCTGCCAGATCTTGGAGAGGAAAACGAAGAGAGGAAGCTGAAAAGAGTTGCAGCCCTTTCCATCTGCTGTCATGCTTCAATGATGTTCACCGAGGGCTTGTTTTTTGGAAACTGGAAGAGAGAAAAGGAAGACAACGATGAATGTCAAGACATTGTGCCTTAGGACAGTCTAGATCAGGGTGTCCAACACTGGCAACTTTAAGACTTGCTGGGGAATTCTGGGAATTGAAGTCCGGGTCTTAAAGTTGCCAGTTGGACACCCCTCAACTAGAATATGTGTACCAAAAGTGTTAAGTCAGCTGAATGCGTGGTTATAAAGAAGTCTAACTCTCATTGCTCAGGGTTTCCAAAATATATTGATGGGAGGACTTAGTCTAAGACTCTAAGGGCTGTATCCAGGTACCTGAATATACCTTAAAGTCACACTCTTAGGTAGGTGTCTTCATGCAAAAAGAACACTCACAGAGGTCCCCTGACTTGAGTCTAGATGTTCAACACAGCATGGTTGGATCAGAAACTGTAGGCTATCCTGAGACGAAGTAGATGGCCTCTGCCAATACCGAGTGCAGCTTCCTGAATCCAATCTCTCTACCCCCCACCCCCACCCCATCACTTAATTAATGTTTTGATTGACTTGGCTCAGTGCCGCATTGTTGACATAATTGGCCTTCTTGCTTTGGGAAACTCCAGTTCCCCATGTAAAGGAGGAATCAAAATGAATCAGCTCCCCCTCTTCTATATTAAAATTTGTAGTAAATTTGTAGTAAATGGGGATTATGGGAACAGGTTTTCCCTGGGATAGTTAAACAAGAGGCTAAGAGATGACTTCTAGAATAGTTAGTTAGGTCCTTAAGGTGATACGTTTGTTGTTCTGTTTTCTTGGATAACTGCAATGGTTAGGAGCAACTAACCGGCATTTGGACACCTTGCATTTATTAAAATGTTAACTTAGTATAAAGAGGGTTTCATTGGGTGTATGATACAGCAGAAATTAGTGACTCACATGGGCCTCCAATAGGCTGGCAATCTCATTTTTATCTTGGGCCCCCATGGAATTGGCCTAGCCTCACTTTATGATTTATGCAAACTTTCTCGCATGCAAAACAAGCCACAGAGAAGAATTCAAAAAGGAAAGAGAAGATCTCTTTGATACGCTGGAAGTTCTTCATATGGCCACAGCAAATATTGGGTTCTGCTGAGGAGGCCAGTGGGGAAAGCCTTGGGGTGCTTTGGAACTTGTGCGCCATATATGCCACCTCTGGCTGTAGCCCACGCATCGCTCCGCCCCTCTTTCTATGAAGGATGATGACAGAGCATGAGGTTTCCAGGGGCTCTACTGGGAAATGCCGGCTGCCTTGCTTTTGCCCGTCCCTCCCCACCCTCCTCCTCACCTTACTACGCAGGAGACCCCCACTCTGATGTTCTGGGGTGCTGTTTTCTGATGTGTTCTTGGCTTTCTCCTTATTGTTGTTTGGTTCGTTGTCTTTGATGATGTCATACTGCCTGCAGAACAGGGCAATCACCCCTGAGGGAAGGAAAGAGGTCACAGATCAACATTTCCTGAAGGTCCCACAAGCACCTCCAACCATCCTCCTGCCGGAGGGAGGGGGGGAGGGGAACTGCCCCAGGCGACTTCACAATTTAAGTTTATAGCTCCAGGTTTTCTAGAGAGATCACATTCAAATATTAATTAGGGAATGTTTCCACAAGAGCAGCAGGTGAACACACACGTGCACGCACAAGTGGAGCTGCGTGCACAAGTGGAGCAATGCGCACATCAGCTTGCCTGCTTCTTCCACGGCCCAGTTCTAAATGGGACACGGCCTGGTAATGTGCCATGGCCTGGGGGCTGGGGACCCCTGCCTTAAGGAATCTGAGCAGAGAAGTGTGCATGCTGTGTTACATTGTGCCCCTCTGTGTGAAGTTTTACACGACTTCCCCTGCCCTTGGGTGTGTAAAGCATAATAAGATCAGAAATTGTTTAATGATCTTATGAAGAAGATTAATCCTAATGGCATAGCTGAAACTTAAGCAGTGTGATTAAAATGGAGTTGCTTGAGTTTTTAGAAGTGCAGGATTGTTGCTTAGATCTCAGACATGTAGGTAGTCCATAGGAAGCTAGCTGTAACCGCAAGCAGGAGGAAATATGAAAATAAAGGTCATGGTTAACAAGTACATCAAACGTAAGGACTTTTTCCTGGGAGGGGATGAACTGAAATAAATTCTGTTTAGGTGCTTCGGATTAGCTGATCGAGATGAGCAGGTGAGCTGTTGAGTGCGATGGGGGTGGGGAGGAACCAGCTTCGTGTGAGGATATAAATATGTGCTTTTAAACATTATTGGTGTGACTTTTTCTCCTTTATGAATTAAGCCCACCAGCTTTTGCAAAAGCTTTATTTCAATAAAACTTTGTTTCTGGAATTCCAAGTGAGTTTGTTTGTCTTTGGCAACCTGAGCCACATTCCAAACAGGTGGGAGCAAAATTTCTCTAATTTTTACAAGTTGCATATCCTATATTTATTTTTTTATATATTTTTTTCTACTTATCTTTAAACGTAAAAAAACTTCTTTAATAAAAATTACAAAGATGTGACTCTGACAAACATAGCAACAGTTAAAAACTACACAACCATCTAAAAACAGTCGGACATAATAAACATATTAAAAACCTGAGATTGCAGGAAAACCAGTCACAGCCATCACATCTGCACACCACTACCTTCAGGACCAGACCGTGCCCAGCAGCCTCCAACTGAGACCCGGAGTCCCTCTGCCTCGCCTTTCACACACACACAGGGACTCCCACCAACCTGCCCACATGAACAAGACGACCACGATAATCAGGATTTCGCCGGCTCGCAGCTGTTGATTTTTGTCTCCCATTTCCTTCATCGTTACTTCATCTGCACAGAAAGGAAGGAAGGGAGGAAGCAGAGCAAAGGGAAGAAGGTTAGCTACCCACGCAGATTTTGTCTTGATTGATTGGTTGATTGATTTAGCATATGGCATTGATACATGAAAGCCAGGAATCTACAACATTGTTACAGAGAAGTGGTTTGGCTGCCTAAGATTGTTAGTTTGTTCAGTTCATGCTCGCACACTATCCAAGGTGCACCTAGGGAGTGAACTAGCTCCACACACAGAGCAGCTAAGGGTATTCTGCTGCCTTAATCGCTAAAATTAAGCTAAATTAAATTTTAAAAAATTAACCTCCATCTTTGTTTTGCCAGTTGTGGAGACAGCTGTGCCAGCCCTCAAATACCAAGGTTACCCCTGGTTTCCAAAACATTTTACAAGTCTGGCCTAACAGGGCAGTTGAGGCTTATCCTGGCTTCCTCTTGGTTGATCGTGACTTTGCCAACCTCCCCCCTCTCCAAAGCCTGCCCTGCCTCAGCCCACTCCTCCCCGCGGCCCCCTCCCACTTGCCTTTGTTCTTTGAAGCCAATTTCTCTGCTTCTCGCAGGGTCTTGAAGTGGACTGGCTCGCTGGCTGGACTCTGGCCTTGGATGCTAATGGACTGGACATGCACGATGTACTCGGTGTCTTCCTCCAGGTCCCAGAGGGAGCACGAGCGGGTGGTGGTGTTCACTTCCTGGATGAAACGCAGCATTCGTACGTCCTTCTTCTGCAGAGAGAAGGATGACAAGCAGGTCGTGCAAATGGTGGGAATGGTTTCCAACCAACGGCCTGTTGCCTCCACATCTGTGCAAAGGCACACACGTGCTCATTGGAGAGAATTGGGCTTCTCCCAATCCTATGTCAGGAGCCAGAGAGAAGCAGACGAGGTTTTGAGTCAAGGACCTCCTCCGTTTCCTCTCTTGCCTCTCCCTAGAGCAGTGATTCTCAACCTTGGCAACTTTAAGGCTTGTGGACTTCAATTCCCCATGGGAATTCTGGGGAATTAAAGGTTGAAAAATACTGCCTTAGAAGTTGTAGCCCCAAAATCTCTCCCCACGCCCTGACTTGATGAGAGGAAGGCTCTGAAACAAATCCTTACTGCTCTCTGAGGCTGGTTATTTCCTTGCAGATGTTTCATTACTAACTAGGTAACTAGGTAATCATCAGTGGTCTATAATTGTTACCTAGATGGGTAAGGAAACATCTGCAAGAAAACAACCAAGCTCAGAGAGCACCCAGGATCTCCCAAATGTCCATGCATTGCTCTTCAGACCCAAGAAGAAGAACCGCCTCAGCCTAGTTCTGTTCAAGATGTCAGTAAAAAAACTAGAAACCCGGCTTTCCTTTTTCTTCCTGAAAAACTTTATTAAATTTCCAGGAAAGATGGAAGGGTAGGGGAAAAGCAAAATCCAGGAGTTCAGATAAAAAGAACAAAATAACCTCCGATTTCCTTTCATACAGATAAAAATCTAAAAATCAACACGGCCCTTTGAACCAGCCTGGGCCGTAACAAACGTCACCAGAAGTCTGGGGTTCCTTGAGTCGCCTTCCTTGGCCCGTCCCTCCCGGGGGCGGCTGAAGGCAGCTAAGGTGGGTCCTGCACTCACCCCGAGGACCCAAGAAGAACGCAGAGGAAACTCGGAGGCCGCCCGGCCGGAAGCTTCTTACCTGCTGCGAAATTGCGAAGCCGATGACCACTTCCTCTTCCAAAACATCCCAGGTCACAACCGCTGAGTTGGCCTTCAGGAGCTTGACCGTGACGTTGACCGGGGCGGAGGGGCTGTCTGCAAGGAGGCAGGATGGAGGTCAGGGCGCAGGTGGTCCTCGACTTACGTCTATTCTTTTAGCAACCACTCCATGTTACTGTCGCACGGAAAACGCTTCCAGGCCGGTCCGTCCACCGGCAACCTTTGCCGCTTCCCCACAGCCATGGGATTGAGGTTGGGGGCTCAGCAACCGACCTGGGTTTATGGCAGACGCAGAGCCCCCAGGGTCAGGGGATCACCTGGGCTACCTTCCCGGCCGGCTTACAACCAGCCAGTCAATGGGGAAAGCCAGATTCCCTTAGCGACCATATGATTCACTTAACAACTGCAGGGATATGCTTCACACCCATGGCGAAATAGGTTGTAACACGTGGTGCAACTCACGTAACAACTGCTTTGCTTAGCAACAGAAATGCTAGTCCTGATTGTGGTTGTAAGTTGAGGATTACAAAGAAAAGAAAAAATAGAGGAGACATGATAGCAGTATTCCAGTATCTGAGGGGCTGCCACCAAGAAGGGGGTGTCACATTATTCTCCAAAGCACCAGCAGGAAGGACGAGAAACAATGATTGGAAACTGATCAAAGAGAGAAACAACCTGGAATTAAGGAGAAACTTCCTAACAGTGAGGCAATGGAACAGTGGAACAGCTGGCCTCCAGACGTTGTGGGTGCTCCATCACTGGAGGTTTTCAAGAAAAGCCTGGACAGCCACTTGTCTGAAGTGGTCTAGGTTAGAGTAGAAGACCCCCAAGGACCCTTCCAACTCTGTTATTCTGTTATTCTGCTCTATACAAGAAAAATATAATAATAATGGATATTTATTAGAGAGGGCAGAGGGGGAGAAAAGGATGTGGCTTGTATCATGGCTTGCTAGCTGTGTGATAGACAACATACAGCTTCTGAAACAGGAGAGCAGGGAAACCAACTCCCAAAAGAAATGGTGGGCATTTATATGGCTTAAAGAGTGGATAATGCTCAAAGATTAAAGACTATTATACCTAGACAGGCATGACCTACAACTTGGATGGCATGCCTTTCTGTGGTATGGGAAGAATAAAATTCACAGATACTTTCAAAACCACTTTGTAAGAAATGCACTTCTTTTAGAATAGGAAAAAATAAAAGTGAAAATTTATATCAAGATACCTGGATGGTTTTCAACAATGGAAGCATTTGCTTACCCAAATTTAATTGATTATGACAAAGTTGTGACCTATAAAGATATTTTGGACAATGAAGGAAAATTGATCTATCATGGTGGCCATATTTGCAACCCAAACGAGATATGAAAAAGATGCTAAAACAATGGGATTTTATAAAGAACAGACAGAATTCGACCAGATACTATTAAAAAGATGAAAAACTGATTAAGAAACTCTATAAATATCTGTTAAGCTTAAAGATGGAGGAAAAACAAGTAAAAGAAACAATGGTAGCATGGGCAAAGAACTTTGGGCATAATATAGAATTAGAGAACTGGCAAAAGTTATGGGAAAGAAATGCTAAATTAACAAAAGCAGTGGCATATAAAGAAAACTTATATAAAATGTTTTACAAATGGCATTTAACACCAGTGAGATTAGCAAAAAATGTTTAAAAATACTTCAAACAAGTGTTGGAAATGCAAACAAAAACCAGGTACTTATTACCATATCTGGTGGACATGCCCTAAAGCTAAAAGATTTTGGTCAAAAATACCCAGAGTGTCCGGTGGTGGGCCGTGGCCTGCTGGCCACAGGACAGGTTTTCTGCCTGAGCAGGGGGTTGGACTAGAAGGCCTCCAAGGCCCCTTCCAACTCTGTTATTCTGTTATTCTCGTGTATGTGGGAATAGGCCAGGCAGGCTGGCAAACAGCCTCTCCAATTCTCTGTCTCAGCCCATTAGTTTAATTGCCCTGCTGTGGGCTGTTTTTGCCTTCCTCTTCACTACAAAACGGGGCGGGAAGGGAAACTCCTTAGAGAGGAAGAAGGGGGTGACTAGCTGTCCATGAGCCTTCCGACTTTCACTCCTGACGGGTGATCCCATCGCAGTTTTTTTTTTTTTTTTGCCTTTTCCAGGTGGAAGCTGTTTTCTTTTTTTCCCCCAAGAGCATCTTGCAACAGCCTTATCAAGCAGGGAAGGGAGGCAGGATCTGTGCAGGGAAACCTTCTGAAGGCTTCCCGGGGAGGATGCCTGCCGGCCGGCCGTTGTGTTTTGGCTGCGGAACTCTCTTGTGTGGCCTGATTCCATAAGGCTCATGACCCCCCCTCAAGAGGATGCCCCCCCCCAGGTGGCTGGACTTCCGTTTCCATCTCTCACACCTAGGATGGCTAAGGGGAGAAGGGAAAGGCTAACCCATGGGGGGAGGGGGCCAGGAATGTGAGGAGAAAAAAAGCCAGGGCAAAGCAGAAACCCTCCCTTCCTTCCTTCCTTCCTCCCTCCCTTCCTTCCTTCCTTCCTTCCTTCCTTCCTTCCTTCCTTCCTTCCTTCCTTCCTTCCTCCCTCCCTCCCTCCCTCCCTCCCTCCCTCCCTTCCCTGTATGATTTCTTCTGCATCTGGGGTGAGCTGAGGATAAGGGGAGAAGAAGAGCAGGAAAGAAGGCAGGCAGGTGATTTGAAACGCCTTTGGTGTGTGAGATGAGCGTGCACCCTGTCTCTCTTCTGCCTCCCTCGCGCTGGCATGTACCCTTGCTGGCGTGTATTAAAGGCACCTTCATAAATCTTCCACAGTGCCTCGCAGACGCTGCCACTTCCGGAGTCCCACATTGTTTCACCATCTGAATCCTCAAGGACGGTTGTGTGAAATGCAAGGGCACTTTTAATTTTGGTGGTGGTGCTGTGTGTGTGTGTGTGTGTGTTGACTTCTCTCCTGACGCAAGCAGGAAGAAATGGAGCAGATGGGAGAGAAATGGGCTGTGGCTGGGGAGGCAGACCAAGTTGCCTCGTTAAACTGGGGGCCACAATCAGCAGGGAAAGAGGTGTGCCTTTAGGTTGGGGATGGGTGGGGAGGGGGATGTCTGCAATTTCTTAAAACCACATTGCCTCTGTTATCAATGGAGCATTTCTTTGTCGTAATGTGACTATCCAAGACTTCAGGATTGCGAATGATGTAAGCTAAATGAACAGGAGCACCGGCTAGTTATAATATAATAATGTGGCTTATTTTATTTTCAGAAGGCCCATTGAAGGACTGTATGGCAAAGTTCGGTATCACTTCGGCTTGATTGCCTCAGTCAGACCCTAGAAACAGAGCAAGACCTTTCCCATCGAAAGGGCAGCTTCACACATCCGCAGCCCCAGCCACATCTGCCTATCTGCAGCCATCAGCTCAACAAATGAAGCTGATAAATTGTGTTAGTTTTGATGAGTAAAATTGCCCCTCTGCTGTTTCCCTTTCCCAATTCTCTTTCCCTGGGAAAATAAACTATCAAAGTCAAAGAAACATTTAAGACACAAGGATGTTGACTGGGATATTAAGAGAGAAGAACAGCTGAGAACAAGTTTTCAGGAGAGGAGATCTAATAGAGGAAGGAGCACATCCAAGAGCACGGTCTTTACCCAGTTTAGGGGACTATGGTCTTTGGAGTACCATCCTCATTTCCTCACTATCCTGACTTCATTGGATTACAGGACAATCAAATTGTTGCTGCATTCCATTCCAAATATATTCTGATTTGCATAACTATATATTAGAGCAGGGATGTCAAACTCGCAATGTCACATGACGTGTCGCGACGTATCATGATTTTTTTCCCCCATTGCCGGCAATGGGATGAGGCGGTTTCGGCATGACGCATCCGGCCTGCGGGCCAGCAGTTTCACACCCCTGCATTAGAGGACTTGTATGCCTGGCTCCTTTTCCAATTCTTGCTCACTATCTCCAACCGATGTTTCAGTGTGTTTGAACTCCGTTACTAAAGAACTCTTTGGAGATACTTTTCCTATAAAAATATATGTGCAATTAAAAAAAAAAAAACCCAGCAACCATACAATTTAAAATCTCTTTGTGATCATCCCCACTTGTACTGAAAAAAACAAAATCCCAATATTTGGGAAAAAATCTGGAAAATGATTGGAAAAACAAATTGTAACTACAGTGATGTTGCGTAACCAAAATATTTAGTTATAAAACATAACCCAATCCAGATATTTCCAGTGTGACTACGAAGACTAGAAACTTTTAAAAATATGAATGAATGAAATCTGCAGTTAGCAAAACTCTTCAGTCATGTTTTCTCTTAGCAGGATTTAATTCAATTCTAATGGAAAAAGCCCAGAGAAGAGCAACTAAGATGATCCAAGGCCTGGAGACTAAAACATATGAAGAACGGCTGCAGGACTTGAGTTTGGCTAGTCTAAAGAAAAGAAGAAATAGGGGAGACATGACAGCAGTTATTCCAGTATTTGAGGGGCTGCCACAAAGAAGAGGGCATCAAACTATTCTCCAAAGCACCAGAGGGCAGGACAAGAAGTAACGGATGGAATGAAAAATGTACTTGGAAAAAGACTGGCCCAACTCATCAGGAGGGCTTTAAACTAAAATTGAGGGGGAAGGGTGACCAATCTTTAGAATCTCTAAAACACAAAACCAATCATAAATCCCCCCAAAAACAAATTAAACAACGAGGTAGGTAGTGTTGAGAAAAAAGAAAAACTCAGAACAACAATCAGGAGATGCAGGAAACATACCCACAAACAGACATAAAAGTTTTAAATGCTTATATACAAATGCTCAAAGCTTGGGGAACAAACAGGGCGAACTAGAAGCAATAGTACACGAGGATGGGTATGACGTAGTTGGCATTACAGAAACCCGGTGGGACGAAACCCATGAATGGAATGAATTGAATGGATACAAATTGTTCAAAAGAAACAGGTCTACAAAAAGAGGAGGGGGAGTTGCATTATATGTAAGTTGCCAGCTATTTAAACTGTCTTCGGGAAGAAGTGATTTGCTGAAGAGCCTTTCTGGAATGCTATTTCTGTGGCTGAAATCACAGCAGTAAACAAAAGCTTCAATAAGTTTCATGGTTATGTGTGGAAACTACTTCCCCAGTTTGCAGGGAACTCCATTGGCTCGGAGGTCCAGGGGCCTCTGAGAGAGCTTTGCATCCAAACTGCTGGAGAGCAAATGGAACAAGCGGCCAGGCAAGCTTATGGCCCTGCTCTAAATGGAAGCAGGTTTCATTGGTGAAAAACTTCCATGAGTGAACATGCTCAGGGCTACGGCAATGCTCAGGTGATTACAAGGCACCTGCAGGTTCACACTAGCAGAGTCTGTGTGACAGCTGAGTTGGAAGTGGGCTGCATTCTTCGTACCAATTGCAAGAAGAGAGAAGGCCAAATTGAGGCTTCTCAGAGTTGGAAAAGAGGCAGCAGATCCTCTGAGGAACCAGGGGACCCTTCTCAGTCTTTTTTGAGGACTGGGCAGGCTCGTGTCTCTCCTCTCATCCTCACAAAGCTAGTACTACAAATCCCATGCTTGCCTTAGAATCCCAGTTCCAGCAAGTCATATTTTTGGACTCTTTGGCCAGGTTTGGAGACTCCCTGGGTGCCCCTCTTTGCCTCTGGCCCTGAGCCCTGTCACCTGAAGCTGGCACGGTTGCAGGTTATTGCCACACAGAGGCATGCTTGTATCTACTGAAAAGACAAACTCTAACCTTCCCCAACCTGAGGCTCTCCACTTGCGCTAGACTTTAGATCCTGGAATTCTCACTTTGCATTGTCCCAACACGCACACACTCGGGAGCAGGAGAGGCTCTCTTACTTATTAGAACAGATGGATTAGCATTTTACGTGCAATCAAAACGACAGCTGCAGAATCAGCCTGAAGACAATCAATCTTGCTGTGGCTTTAAGCAAAGCAACATCTAAGCGAAATGGAGAGGAAGCCATGGGGCTCACTTGATAGGACCACCAGGATCCAGTCCACATCTTTCAAGAGATGAATCTGGCTAGTGGGGAATTATTGACCAAGCATGTTGAGGATGTAAGGTAGGGGTGTCAAACTGCCGGCCTGCGGGCCAGATGAGGTCATGGCGAAACCGCGCCCACCCCATAGCCAACAATGGCAAAAAAAAGTCATGATACGTCGTGACACGTCACGTGACGTTGCGAGTTTGACACCCCTGATGTAAGGTGTTTCCCAGCGTTTTCTTCATTTCAATGCAACAAATGACTCCTCTGAAACCAGATTAATTTTGTTATTTCTAGGCTTCATTCATTCTAACTTGTTGAAATTTCTTGGCTTGAAACCAGTTGACCTCAGGGATGACCTTCTCCCACCCTGCCCTGTCCTGCAGGCCTGGCCCTTAAACACCTCCCATCTCCCTGCCTGGTCGAACATGGGATTAGGCAGGTTGTGATTTGATCTATTGTGGAGTCCTAACATATTGTCTGAAGCAAGTCAGCTCACTGTTTATTTGGAGACTATATAGAGAAAAGAACTGGGCTTTTCAGGTTTAGGATTGAGTGTGTTGTGTCAAAACATTGGATCCAGACTTAGTTGTTCTTTTAAAAATTCCACTGAAATCAGTTCATTGTAACTACAGCACATTAATTTCGTAGCTCTATTTTGAAACTAGATTAAAGACAATATTTTTTTCAATAACTGTCAAAAGATCTTAATAATCGATAGTATAATAAGTTCGACAATTAACAAATTTCTATCTATGACTCCAGAATCTGCTGCCTGAGCCACCGACTGCTTCGCTGTGTCTCAAATGAAAGTCTGTTCCTGGCTGTGCTGATAAATCCGAACCTCTTTGGATTTTTTTCTATCCACCTCGTCCCCCCCCCCCACATTTAATTACTATTTCTAGAAATTTCATAGTCTGTTAAACTTCATATTTAGTCGATCTGCTTTTAAAGTGAGGACTAATTTACTTTCTGATTTCTGAGGTCCTGATAATTTTAATGGGATCCTGTGTGCGTGGTTTTTTTAAAGTCTATTTTTCTGAGAGACGTTTTCTTAGCCTGACAAATATCTTGGCACATTCTGTGACTCCTTGTAACAGATTTTTGAATAAGCATTATGCTTGATCATTTTACGTATTTTCACTGACTTCTTGGCCAATGTGACCTTGTGAAGCGTCCCGTGCAATGTGTGCCCAGGAGTCAAAACTCCATTCACTCTTTCTTTCTTTCTTTCTTTCTTTCTTTCTTTCTTTCTTTCTTTCTTTCTTTCTTTCTTTCTTTCTTTCTTTCTTTCTTTCTTTCTTATCTTCATCTCTGATCACTTAGTGCTGGGTACCCTCCTCCAATATTCCCAGGACTTCCTTAAACAATTGGAGGGGTGTCAAACTGCCAGCCCGCGGGCTGGATGCATCGTAGCAAAACCAGGCCCACCCCATTGCCAACAATGGCAAAAAAGTCACGATACATCTCGACACGTCACCTGACGTTGCGAGTTTGACACCCCTGACCTACAGGTTTGTATTGGTTTCATAACCCCTCCCCACAGAGAGCAGCTACATTATTGAGAAAGATGGGGGACGCAGAAGAGCTCTCCATCCACAGACCTGTGTTGCTAGTAATCTGGAAAATCACTTAATGTTATTGGGAGACTTATTTCACTCCCGCTGCTGTTGCCTACTTGCCTAATAATATCTGGTTTGGCTACCCTGCTGTCCAAAGTTGTTTGGTTCTGAGGAAATCACTGTTAACAGATATCTGCCATGTCTCTCCCCATATTTTAGGAATCCTGTTCAGAGCTGGGGGCTTTCTGACAACATGAGAAGAACCATCCTGGGCCAAGTTAAGGTCCAGTGAGTGGCAATTCCTTCCGGAGAGAGGCAAGGGAGACGACTGTCTTCACATGAGACGGCATCCTATGATCTCTCAATGAATCACTTGGCTGACTTGAAGGACAGTCACCCGGGCCATTGATTGGCTCCTTTCTCTCCAGCCCAGTTGAATAAATAGAATTCAGTAAGGAGGCCAAATCTCACAGCAATCATCAGCCAGTCAGTAATGTCTCCTTGGGCTCTGTGCACTCTTATGAGGTCTGCTTAAACCTATTACACAAATTGCTTTCTTTTCTTTTTTACAAAACATCTCTAAATGGTACACTCCCAATAGAGTGTTATTCATCGTTCCAGAAACAGGCAGCAGTGAGTGCCACAAATGAAACGTGTTGTCCTATGCCACCGCCACAAATACTTCTTGGTTGAGTCTCCTCAACTCAGCTTATCAGATAGAGATGATGCCCCAGCCAGCGAAGCCGTTGGCTGAGAGACGTTCAAACACGGACCAACACCAGAGGTCGGGAAGGTTCGGGGCAATTCAACCGCCAAGAACAGAACAAAACCTGCTCTCCACCGCCAACCCCCCTCCCTGTCGTGGGACCCGCTCCCCCGCCCGCGCCCTCTTACCTGCATCTGCCCAGGACAGGCTGGCACAGCTGAAATAAGCCAGGAAGGCTGCGTTGATGTAGAGGAGCGGATCTGCCATCCTCCTCCAGCGCGAGTCCGTGGTGCAGCCACATGGAAAGGAGGGCCGCTTCAGCCCCGGAGGTCCAGACCCCGCATGGGGAGGGAGACGCCGAGGGAGCCCGGGGCGCCGCCGATCACCACCACGCCGGCCGGCCCCGCGCCCCGGCCGCCCAGCCGCCCAGCCCCCGCGCGGACATTNCCTCCCGGCCAGCGGCGGCGGCGGCGGCGGCAGCTCCAGGGGCCCCGGGGGGCGGGGGGGGAGCGGGCGGGGCTTCTCCCGGGCCCGGGGAAAGTTTCTGGGAAGCGGCGGGAGGCGGCTCGGCTCCGGCCAGGCAAATCTAGAGCGAGGCGGCCGATCGGCGGCGGCGGCGCTGGGTCTCTGCAAGCGGCAAACGCGCCGCCTCCTCCTCGCCCATCAGGCGGGCGGCTCCATTCACGGGAGCCCGAGGGCGAAGGGGGGAGCCCCGGAGTCTGGCCACACCGCGGCGCCCCCGCCCTCCCCGCCAAGCCCAGTCCGGCTTCCTCCCACCATGCCCGGCCGAGCCACACCGCCCTCGCCTGGCCTGGAGATGTGCGCGCCCAACGCGCGGAGGGGGGAGTCTTCAGCCGGCCCCTCCCGCGTGAAGCTGAGCCGGAGAGCGACGGGCTGTGAAGGGGACGGGAGCCTTTCGGGCTGGCTCGGGCTGCCCGGCCCCGGTTGGCGTCGGCCCCCTGCACGCCGAGGAAGGCAGCGCTCGGGGCCTCCGAGCCCCCCCCTCCGCCTCCCTCCGCAGACGCCCCCCTGCCTGTGTCTCGGCTGATTGGAGGCGGGAGGAGAGCGAGGCGGGCGAGGCGGGAGCCCGGCTGAGTAGGGGAACTCGGCCCCCATCCTTCCTGGGGAAGAGAGCCCTCCCGGACCCCCTTTGGGAGAGCCTGCCAGGCCAAGGGCAGCAGCGCCCGTGGGTAGCCCGGGAATTCGAGCAGGGAGGGACCGATCCAAAGGGGTGGGCGCTATGATAGATGACGGCCTCCCAAGGGAAAGAGCCGGTCCACTTAGCAGCAGGTCCCCTTGCAAGATTTCTCCCAATTTGCACCAGGAGAGGGAGAGGAGGGCAACGGCTCACCTTTGGAGGAATCTGTGCAGGAATTGAAAGCATCCCCTTCCGTTTATGCTCATCAAACACCCCAGGAAGAAGACATGCAAGGCGTTACAGGGAGGAAGATGGGGCCGGACAGGCTCAAATAGCCACATGTTGAGGGCTTGATGAGTTCAATCTTGCCATGCTGAACTGTCAATTTCCTTTTCCCCCCCCAACAGATCCAGCTGGGGGGTGATTCAACTGTCTCCGTGGCCACATCTGTATGAAGCTAGCCTGGCTGTGGAGCTTCTGATGATAAGGGAGGTGCCCTGGCCTTGAAAAGTACAGCAAGGTTGTAATAAAATATGCCAGCCTCTTGTAAGGAGCTCCTTTCCCAAATACCCCAAGTGACTGGGCACGTGCAACAGAGAGGAGCAGACAGAGTCCACAAAGGAGACCAGGAGGGGCAGGCACCCACTGGACAATTTGTCATGTGATCTGGGGACTTCCTCACTGGACTGTCAGGTCCTCGAGGCAGGAGCCCAGGCAGAGTCGTACAGACTGGAACCAGGGCTTCATCTGTGGCTTGCTCTCAATTTAAGAAACATCTCCCTCTGAATAGGAATTAGGCCAAAATCCAAAGATTTGTCTGGTTTGATACACCTAGATCAAATTCTATAGGCCACTTGTGTCACCTTTAAATAACAGCTCTGACCAGCACAAAAAAAACCCAAGACAGATCCCACTTCCTCTTAAGCATCTACTGTATGGCTGATATTACTGACTAGGAAAATATGAGGTGAGCCCTGCTGGATCACCCCAAAGGTCCAGCAAGTCCACTGTTTTGCCCCCTGAGAGGCAACCAGCTGTCAACGGTGGGACCGAAGTTGCCGGTGTCCCCTCTGCTCCCCAGCAAATGTTCCCAAAGGGGTGGGAGGGCCCCGTCTCTCCATTTGGCTAATGCCCTTTTCAGGCTGCCCGATGACAGTCAATTGCATAAAATCTAGCTAGATGCCACGTGAAAATGCTGCCTCTTTTCTCTTTTCTTTTAAAATATTTATTTTTTGCCTACTCCCCAAAGAAGAAATGTCTGTTAAAAATTATCCTAACATGCACCACAAAAGCACAGGAAAGCAACTTAACAGCATTTTAAAAGCAACTAATTAAAACAATCTGTCTTGAATCTCCCATCATTCAGCTTCTCTCAACTATGAAAAAAAGTTTTTCTCCACTTTCTATCATGTATTATTTACATTTCCATTATATTTCTTCCTGTCACATACACTTTCTCGCCTTTTTGGAAAGGAAAATTTTCCAAATTTCCTCACCTTTCCTCACAAGAATTCCAGCCCCTTGATCATTCGGTTTTTTGGTAATTTGCTGGTTCTAGAATATTCTTTTTCTGTTTGTTTGTTGTTTGTTTTTATCTTATCTTTCCTATTTGTATAAATGATTGAAGGCAGTGACCATATATAATGCTCCTTCCTCCTCCTATTTTCCCCGCAAAAGCAACCCAGAGAAGGGCTGGCTCAAAGTCACCCACTTGGCTTCCACGGCTAAGGTGGGACTAGAACTGCCTCCGTGTCCCGAGCCTGATGCCTTCACCCTGGACCAGATAATTCTCTACTGAAGCAATTATAGCATGGAACAGCACAAGGGTGCTGGGATGGGAACTTTTATTGTCAATTTCTTCTTTAACATCTCCAAGCTGGAGTCATTTTGCACATCTCTTCCACATCTGCTGCAACTGGGCCATGGAACTGATTGGTCTCCCAGCTCTGCATGAAGGGCAGAGCTCTGTCCCTGGGTATGGGGAGGCAACGTGAACACACACACCCCAATTTCCCCCCCCCAGTTCCCCTTCCTTCCATAAGGATGGCCCCTTCCCTTGGCTTTGGCAAGTCCAGAAGGGCTGGGTGGATCCCTTTCGGCCGCCTGCTGTGTCTTCAAATGCAGCAAAGCTCCCTCCCCCAGCCTCTGTCCCCCATCCCCACCAGCCTGGGCAAAGGGAGAACAAAGGTTTCCAGAAGCTGCTACAGCAGAAAGAGAGGACTGAAGGAGGGGAGGCTCTCAGCACCCCATGGCCCAAAGGATCCAAGCGATCTATTCTTTTTTCCATTTCTTGTTGGAACTGTGTAGTTCAGTTGCTATGACTCCCTTCCTGAAAATATCATTTCATCCATGGGGGGGGTCTGTTCTTCTATTTGCACACACACACACACACACACACACTAGCCTTCCTTCTTTCTTGTGCTTTCTTCCTGCTCCTTCCGCCTCTCCTCCTGAAGGCAAAGTCTCCACTTTCCCAAAGAAGCCTCCTGGGCTCCTTCTGCTCCTTACCCACGCTGTCCCAGTCCTCCCAGGGCTGATTTCTCTTCTGACCCGATGATTCTCTCTTCTTCTGTCCTGCAGAGGTTGGCATCTCTGGAAAGAATTGGCTTTTTCTGCACTTTCCCCCTGGCAAAATTCCACCCGGGAGCCCCCCCCCCTCTTTCCAAGGGGCAATAGCCAAGGGAGTCAGAATGAATCTGGGCAAACGTTCAGTGTTGTGGTGCCAGGGAAACGCATCGGGGTCCCTGTAGATAAATGATTAGATGATTTACATTTTGACTCTTTGGGTGGGTTGCTCCTTCTCTCAAATTCAGCACTCTCAAAGGAGATAGAATGGATCTGAGGAAGGAAGATACTTCATTGCAGACCCAAAGAATCCTAATTTGGAAGACAATCAGCTCCTAGGAAAGACATAGATTTAGAATCTGGTCCTATATATGCATAAACCTCACAGTTGACCCTTAGTGTCCTTCTCTTGCCAAGATTTTAGAATACAACAGAGCTGGAAGGGAGATTGGAGGTCTTCTAGTCCAGCCCCCTGCTCAAGCAGGAGAACCTATGCCATCTCAGACAGGTGACATTTTGTAACATTCTGCTTCTTCATTCTGATTTTGCAAGTTGCACCTGCCCTGTGTTTAGAAAATGGCCCACTTGGTGCCCCGTCCCTCATTTGCTGGCTCCAGCCCTCAGATTATCTGTTTCTCTGTCTTGAGGCTGGAAGGAAGTCCAAGAACATGGCTTTCGCGTTCAGCTTGTTTTTCTCTCAAAAATGCAACCGTTGTCATTGTTTCTAACTAGGGCCTCTTTTGATCTTTTATTGCTCTTGTTTTGCCACCCCCTCGGATCAATTCACTGAAAGAGATCTGGAGGTGATTAAACCAGATTTTTCTCCAAGTTGCTACTGCTTTACCCTCCCTCCCTCCTGGTTCAAAGCAGCACTTGCCCAGTTCTTGCTGTGCTTTCAATAACGTGTGTGTTTAAATGTGTTTATGCCCGATGAAAATAAAGAGGCCTGCCATGGGCAGCTCCTTTGAGCTCAGAGGAGACTCATCAACCGGCAATGTGTGCGGCGGGGGCTGTGAGTCAAGAATAGCAGAGTCCCCACTCTTTCCCCTTGGAGGCTTTGACTGGTTCCCCCAAAGGGTCCCTGTTTGTGGTGGTGGCAGCATAAGTCCCAGCCGGCCGTGATGCCAGCCTCACTTAGACAGGCCTAAGAACGCGGACACAAAACATTTCTTGGCAATTCCACGAATCTACTGGGCATCTCTGGCTGAGCATCTCCACCAGAGACTCCACTAAGGGCCCAAGGAGGCTGGTTCAGTCATGCTCCTCCTCGGGCCCTGTTTGTAAAGCTCTCAAGGCCTGGAGGAATCTGGTAGATCTAGTGGAGATCACAACAATATTCGATTTCTCTGTGTTAAAAGAATTCTGAGCTCTTTTTCTGGGCTACTCCCTGGAATCCCATCGACTCAACACCATCCAAAACCTTTGCCTGAAAAGTCCAGCTTCCACATTTTTAATTCAGTTTTCCTCTCTAGACACCGCTGTGTGCCATTAATAAACAGAAGGAAGAGGCGGATCCTGAACAGAACAGAACAGTACAGAACAGAATAGAAATAGAAATAGAAAT